ATTACAGAAGCACACCTTGCTCTGTTTAAAAAGACAGTTTGCCATTGAAACGCTGCCGGCACGGCTCATTGCAAGGACTTTCCCAACCCAAGAATCATTTGTCTAACCAAGGAGCTGAGTATCCTGCAGTCACTCTTTAAATGCTTTCCAGATTGTAATGTGTCCTAACGATGCCTTCCCCTTGTAACATGACAAATGCTTTGACAGGACTGCTGCTTTTTTTTTTCTCTCTTTCTTTCCCTTTAAAGAAGAAATGCTGTAAAAATTGACAATTCTGAGGAAGAAATTGAATAAAGCAGAACATATTTACAAGGGCAAAACCCAACATCTTACTGTACACCGGTAAGCTTCCAGCTGCCAAAAATGGTCAGCAAAATGCAGATATACAGGATTATTTCTATTTATGTTATCCAAATTAAATATGAGTTTGCACAAAACACCTGGATCCATATGTGCATGGGAAGCACTTCCATCTGAATGGGGAACAAGACTCTGAGCCAACCTCACCCGATCTACAGGCAGAACTACTGAATTGCAAAAGCTGACTGGTGACCTTGAATTAGACTGAATGTTCCTTCAATAACAGCATCTTCCTGCTGTTTGATGCTGGACAGACTTATTCCTCTGTCTTTGTACACATGGGCTGAACTGCCACACAGTACCAGCACACTAACCATCCTATTTGATTATTAGGGATTTTAAAGCATAGCAGCTTTTACACGATGGGTAAAAGGCATGAAACAAGTTGTGGTTCTTTGAGTTTGCAAGGAGGAAAAATGTGGGACGGGATTTATTCCAGCACTATTCGATTCTGCCACTTAGAGCCAGTTAGGAGACAGTGAGCTGATATAAGGCCTTTTTCCTGAACATCATGTAAAATTATCCATATAGGGCAGTCTAACCAAACCACTGTACCAGAAAAGATCCTTCATCACTGTTCATCTGTGGTTTTGAGCACAGCTTGATCTACCTGCCTCATGTAAGTAAATAATGTGCCTCAACCTTCCCGTCGACTCGCCTATAGCTACAAGTTTTATCTCCCTTGCATGACTTCCTCACAGCAGCAATCCAGATACCTCCTCACACCTCGTATGACTGGACAGATAAATTGACACCTACTAACTTGGCACAGCCTCGTTACATGAACTGCTTTGCTGTGCTCCCTGAGCATCAATCCATTTATTGCATAGCTCATATCCCAATCTTCCCAGTGTGCTGATTAACAGACTTCCAATTCTTGGGGCTTGCCAAGTCCCCTTGAACAAGAGGTTTTTGCTCTCTAGAAAGAGAATGCAATTACCTGCTAATCTCATGATCCAGAAGATTTCTTTCCCTCCAAATCCATCTGTGGCCAAATGCAGTGAGACAGTTGTGTAGCTGAATGTAGGGGTGGGGTTTAGCTGGCCTTAAATCCAAGGCTGTAGATAATATACTACTATTTTAAAATACTACAAGAGCAGTATGCAGAATAAATGTCCATCACAGGAGCTCTGCGTAAGTCAAAAATATTCTTTAAGGTCCTCGTTTAGGCTCTTTAGAGGTATTCAGCCATTATGAACTTAGTGATGCTGGCTGCCAAATTACTTGCTGAAGATTGTGCTACTGAATTTCAGCCCACTTGGCAAATAACTGGGGCCCGTGCCAGTTGCAATGGCAATTTGTGAGATATGGAAGTCTCTCTGCCAAGGAGCTGCAAGAATAATTAGAGATCCAAGGGGAAAATCTGTCCCGAAGAAAAGCAAGTAGGACGTAAGTGGAATAAGCAGTGCGCTTATTTGGAAGCCTGGAGACAATAACTTTAACAAAATTAGAGGGAAAATACAGTACCTGCATACAACAAAGCTGGCTGGTAATGGTAAGGAAGTATCATCTAGATGGGCAAAGGAGGAGCCTTTCTTAAGAGCCTTTGTGCCTGAGTAAGTATGAGAGTTATCTGCAAGACACCTCTTTGTCCACCTAGACATTTACTTCCCAGTGTAATGCAGATCTTGGTATCACTTAACCCACATTCATAAAATGATGTTCCTTGACCTATACTTTGAAAGAGATTTTTCCTTTAATTCTGATGGGTGCTTGGGATTTTTTTTTGCCTCCTTCAACACAACAAAACAGTTGTGAAGTGTCTAGATAGCTACAAATTTGCCAGGACATTACCCGAGTCTCCTCAGTCTTGTTGCTGAAAGATTGGAACTGCGGATGTTATTTTCAGAAACAGTGTTCCCTATAGATACTTCACATCTATATGCTACACAGGTTCATGTAGTTTAGGGTTGTAGTTTTGACATTTTTGTTGCTGTTAAAGGCTTCTATTCCCACTGTATCAGTGTGGGAGACCACTGACATCTCTAAGAACTGAAAACTTATCACCAACTACCTACTACTTATTTTCTTCCTCTTCAATAGACAGGCCAGCTGAACTCTGTTAAAGCAGGACAAGATGACAGAAATACTCAATAATGCTCGAATTCCATCTCAAACAACACATTGGAGGTCACTACTGCTGAAGAATTACTTCACTCCTATATACATGGCATGAAATCTTAAAATAATACCAACACAAACTTGCAGGCATTAAGTGTCTATCCATTACCTGGGCAATACAAGAAGTTTTTCAGTATTTTTAGGAAGATTACACTTCAATTCCAGGTAGCAGGTTAAGATGTTTCCGTGCAACCTGTGTTTTAGTTACTGAGGAGCATCAGAAACTGAAGCTCCTGATATCAAGAATAAACACTCATACTGTTGCCTGTAATAGGGACTTGAACAGCCTGACAGCTGCCTTAAGAGTGCTCTGGCCACCTCTCCAAGCTGCACATAACTGGTCATCTGTACTTGCATCTCCAGGTGATGAACACTTGTCTCAGAGTGTGGGCTTGTGCTTAGTGATTGTTTCTGTTAGTGAGAGTTTCCGTTCATGTCGACCTTCAGGCACTTCATTCCTCCTGATGTTTTTAACACTTAGATTTTCATCTCTCCGGAGTTGAGGGGAAGAATGAAAAGGAAGAAGAGCTGGAATTCATTCACCTTGACTTCTCTTTGGCTTCAGCTGTCATACATGTGTAGAGTCACTATCAGAAATGGAATATTTTGTGTGCGCCTCCACTGAGACCCAAGCAATGATGTGACTTGAGGGGCAGAGACACTGTCATGATGCATCAGTACCCTGCAGGCACTGGAGTATCTCTATGCAGCTGCTCAGCCAGAAAAGCTGCTCAGATTACTCAAGTCCTTTCAATGAGCTGAGCCCAAGGCAATATTTTAGCAGGAAACGGACTCTTTAAAAATTAAAAGGAGTTATTTTTGCATCATTTGACTTGGAATATTTCTAAATGTGTTCTATTATTGGTCCTTGCTGTTGCCAGAACAATAATGAACTTGTAACTGGTTCTATTCTAATCAATTCTTAAAAAAATACAGGTAGGTTTCTTGTAGAATTCCTTACCCATATAAAGAGATTAGCCCATGGAAGATCTCTTAAAAATATGGAAAAGGAGGGGTAGCTCTGGTTCCAGGATAAGTCAGGTCATACGCAACCTACATAGACTTGAACCAGTGTCTCAGCTGTGACCCACAAAACATGACTGCTCACTTTACTCAAAGACTTTCCTGGCTGAAATGACACAAAATTAGTGTGAGGAACTTCTATTTATTTAGCTTTACTGTATCAAATTCAGTACACCCCCTGCACGCCAGCTGAATAGAGGACCTGAAAGCGCAGTTACTTTTAAGCCCAGGAGGAAGAACGGCCATCTTGCTTGTGCTGCAAGTTGCCCAACATGAAACTTGGTTGGTTGGTTCCACTGGACAATCACTGTGTTACACACACAGAACATGGTCCAGCGAGAGCGAGCACATCTAGGGGTGACATATTACATGATGACTTGTCCCAAAGTAGAGGAGAGGCTGATCAGGAGGAGGAAAGTGCACCCAGAATCTCGTTTTGAGGGTCCAGATCACTTCCCACAGCCATGCCTCTTCCAAAACCAGCTTGTTCATTCTTTCAGCATAAAAAAGAAAGCAGGCAAGTGGTTCTTGCCCCTCCTTAGCACACCACTGTCCTTGAGGCTGCAGCAAGGATCTGTACTGCACCATAAAAGCAATTTTTTTTTTTTTAAGCATACTATATCTCTCAACAGAAGCATGCTCAGCCAACAACAGTTTGGACTGTCTGCACCACTCCCCACTGTTTAATAAACCTATCTGTATCTTCTTCTGTTGGACACTTCCTCGTTTTCCATGATCCCCCAAGCAGTCCTTTCTTTAAATTTCTTTTTTCTCACATGCAGACATACGTGACAGTCTCCCCAGAACCACATTAACACTCCTGTATCTCAGCTCAAAACATCTCCTTTGATGCACTCTAGAATCATGCTTCATTTTTTCCATCCTGTATGTAGTGGCCATAGGCCATCTTTATACAGCTTTATATTCATACTATATTAGCATGTATAATATAATAGATGTATTATAAACATCTACAGCCAGCTTTGTATTTTGAGGGGGCTGCTGACAGAAATACATATTACTGAAAGATTAAAGAAGAACATATGTATGCAAGGGAAGAAGTATAAGATAAAACCTAATGGCTGCATTCTGTTGAGAGTGTCTGGAAAACATTATGACTACTAGGAAGCCAGAGAGAGCAGTTGGTTGCAGTATTTTAAGATGATATAAAAACCTAACAGAAGTACACCTCAAGAAACAGAACGGGAAGAAAATGATCTTGTAAATGTGGCAGAAGAAAAAAGGTAGCATTTAAACACCTAAGACATGGGAGAATATATGACCCTTGTTTCCCATAAATATGTATATTTTTTTTTCTCTGTCCAACCTGAGAAATATTTTCAATGACAGCATCAAACTACCTTGAAAATTCTCATCTATTTTAATCAGACTTCTTTTAGCACCTGCTGAAATATCTCAGAGCTCAGGATTGGCTTTAGCACATATGCAACAGGCCCCATGGCATCTATTCCTTGACAGCAATCTGGTCTCCTTACCTCATAGAGCGTAATGATGCCGTTTGTCTCATTTGGAGGCTTCCACTGAACATAGATCTTCTCTTCGAAAGGTCCTCCCTGGATGGATTCCAAGGGAACTGGTCCAGGAACTAGACAAATTAAAAAAAAATAATAATGTAAGAAGCTATCACCAGCTCGAGATGCCACATACATCAAGAGATACCAGGAGTCCATCCAAATGCATGTGCAGAGCTGAGAGGAGAAGAAAAGAAACTCAACCCCCCCCAACCCCCCAAACCTTTGGCCTAATCTCAACCTTGGTTCAAATAACCCTAATGCAGCCACTAGGCCATAAGGAAAATCATAATCCATGAAGAAATGACGTTATCATCAATATGCCCCTTATTCCCGTACAGCATAGAAGCAGTAGATCATTCAGTACCTAACATGGAAACCAAGACAGAGAAGGTAAATTCACATGGGCTTATCTAGTCAGGCAGCAGAAAGTGCTTTCCTTACATGAACACATAAATTTATGTTTCCACATCCCATAAAACATCACACAATAATAGCTTAATTTTATGCTAAGTTATGCATTGAACTTATTACTTTCAAACATCAATATTCCATTGCTATGTGCATTTTTTTCTTGTTTTCCCGTCTATTTAAATAACTGCCAAAAACGTATCTTTCAGAAACAAACTTCAAAAAAGAGCCCAATTTAACATAGCCTCAAATACAGATATGTACAGAAGTGCAAATAACAGTAATTAACATTCTGTACATAAAGATTCATGAACTGAAGGTGATTTAAGCAGTATTACTTGCACTTCCCGAAGAAAAGTCTCTGTGCAGGAAGATGCCAATCCTGCTTCCACATGTTGTTATGCTACTGGAAACCCTCAGGTTGTGTCTAAACAGCAAAATGCAGTAAGATGCAGGGACAACTAAGATAACTCTGGACAAACTAGATCTCCAGTAACGTTCATTGAGTCATTCTGCATAGACTTACTCTGCCCAGACTGGTCTGTACTGTTTTTTTCCTGAAGTCTGGTCAGTTGGAGACCTGGCAACGTAACCTAGGGTGGTCTCTGCAATGGAAAGGAGCAGTGGCATTGCACACTATTTACTCAACTTCAGTATGACCTTCTCATTGTTTAAATATCTCATCATGCGTGTTTGATCCTGAGCTAGATTCCCTCACATTCACTGCGTCACAACACTCATCCCAGGAATTTCCTATTACAGATCTAGGCACTCATTAGGACAAGTTGTGGCTCTGTCACTAAATAACCACAACTGTAACAACTCCTAAATTCCCCTGTCTGGGTGTTTAGCTGAACTTCTGGAGGCCAAGGCAGAGAATGATGGGTGAAGTCGGAGCAGATCTCGTGTTAATCCCTTCCCTGTCCTCCAAACCCTTCTGGAACAATCCAGAGATACATCCAATAGAGCTGTGCTCCCTCCAGACACAGTCAACAACTCCGTGGCATTAACAAACCTACCAGTCTCCCAGAGCCACAAAATACTTCTCCCACACACTTGGCAGAACAGTACACCCACAGAGAAGCAGGATGTGTCCTTCAGCAAAAAGACACCCATGGAGGTCTGTAATATCTAGGCAGCACAGCCTCCTTCAGAGATCAGTTTCCATGAGGAATTCCAGCTCTTCCTCTATCTTCATTCACCCGTGCCCCTCATGACTGCTATCTTAGCTTGTGTTCTGCGTCGGGGACCATTACAGATGGACCATTACGTGCAACACCTCAAGGTGTTCCACAAAGCAGCAGCCAGGATGGGAACGATGCTCTCCTCCAAAGGCCACGTGTTCTCCCCTAATTTGTAGGGCTGCAGGACCGGGCATCTGCATTTTGCTCACAAGCTGCCTTGTGCATTTACCCACCTGCTAAAGATACAGTAAACAGAGGGGCTCTGAGGGCAGGAATTACCACCCGTTCTGGTTGCAATGTCAAAGGACAGTCGCATTCCGCAGGGAATTTAATGTGTCCTTGTTCACCCGCACAACAATAAAACTCCACGTATCTGAGCAGCCAGATTGCACCTTGGTGCAAAAACGCTATCGGCCTGCACCCCTTTATCAATATGAAAGGTTGATTTCCTTAGGAGAGTAACAATGTAAGATTTATGTTTCATTATGGCTACAAGGCCAGCTAAAAATCCACATAGCCAAGCAAAATGTTAATGCTGTGAAAGATAACCAAACGCGTTCTCAAGCCGGCCTCACGAAAAGCCCTGTTCATTTTTTTCCTGAAAGATTTGCCATCTTCTCACGTCCCCTCCATGATATACTGGAGCCACTTTCAACCTTGGGCAGCGCCTCCTAACAGCTCCGGCAGTGGAAGAACATTTTCTTTTTAACAAATTGGTGAAAACGAAGGCTGCCGGGCTAGGCGAGTCCTTGGCCTGAGCCAGCAAAGACGGGAAAAACAAAACTCAGAGGTTGTCATCAGTGCTTCCTGAAAACTGCTCTTTTTTATCACTAAGGGACAAGTTAGCACCCAAAGAAATGGAACCAAATCTTACGCCTAGAAGCCTGGCAATAAGAAGAGATACGTGCTGAAAAGTAGGACATTATACAGCTTTCTAGGGGCAGTAAAGTGAAGCAAGACAAAAATCACCAAATGGTAGAATTGTATTTTCTTGTATGAGAAAGGACATCGCTCTGAGGGCCCGTGGAAGTTCAGAACGTGGCCTCCATAGAACTAACCCTACTGCTGCCCTGTGGCTACCCTGCTGGGCAGCTGTCCCCAAAACCAAGCAAACCAACCCCACTCACCATCCTCCTCGGTCTGCACAACCAGCTCCTCGCTCTCCATTTTGCCCTCGGGGTTGGAGAGGGCTAACCTCAACCTGATGGTCATGAAGGGCCGCAGGCCTCGCAAGGTGTAGTGGGACGAGGTCTGGATGAGCTCCTCGGCTTCAAACTTCTGCTGGTTGAACACGTACTGGTACTGGACCGTGAGGTTGTAGCTGTGGCAGCGGGTCACGGCGTAGCCGAAGGGCTCCCACTGCAAGGTCAGCTGCCGCGAACGGATGTCGACCACTTCCACGTTCTGCGGTCCGTGCACTGGATCTGTGGAGGAAGCACATGGGGAAAAAAGAGAAGACCTTAAAGGAAATCACCTGTCCATTAATGTGCCTTCTCCCAAAGTGTCCGAGTACCTCATAGTCCTAAATGCTCCCTTGGATGAAAAGGAATCTGTGGACATAGTTCACCTTTTAGAGACCAGAACAAAGACATGAGGAAATCCATGTCACATCCACAAGCGTGTTCTGTATTTTCACTGAAAAGCCCCTATCACAGGGCCCTAAACAGAAGCTCCTGGTTCATCCACAAGGTCCTGCAATTCCCATCCTGAAAGTACTAAGGAAGTTGCTCTTTCTTCCTTCTTAATAACAAAGAGATAAATCCTTCTTTCAAATAAAAAAAGAAATCTTATGGCCTACCTGAAGTGCCTCAACACCTTGGTGAGGCCAGCCTTAAACAATGCAATTACATAAGAAATCATTGACAAGAAATAAACGGATGTCTGTCAGGTTCTGATTTAGCTTCGTAACTCCCAGAGCCTCCTGCCAACCCTCCCTTATTCTGCTGAGACCTTAAAATATGAATATAAGGATGAAGATGGGAGCATGGCTGTAATGTTTCTGCCCTCCCAGTGTCCCTCTGAGGAGGAATCTGGGCTGCTTTGGCAGGGGCCATATCCAACACGTTTCTGAGTCATCTCAGCCACATGCCAATAAAGCTTTTACATGACGTCATATCGATGCCTTGGCCCCAGCAAAGTTTTATCACTCTATTCTTTCGACAGGAAAAGCTGAGGTAAAGCTTGAATATTCATGTGCAGGAATCACTTTCACCCGCTGTTCCCTAATTTATTTTTAAGAGCATAAATCAAATGCTCTGACTGAAGACTCTGTCCTCTACATAAAACACAAAAGCTGCTAGACATGCTAATATGAAGAACAAGGGAGGAAAATCAGTGTTTTGAGAGATGTCGCATGGTAGTAATGCCACATATGCCATCATTTGCTGGCATCTGACATTTCTTCAACTCCTGTAGCTTGTTTTTTTGTTCAAAAGATACCTAAGCAATCTGATAAGAAAGCTTATCATTTCATGGAAAGTCTCTTGATTTAAAGCACAATTTAAGGTACTTCACCCACTTCTCATATTTTCTCACAATTTCAGCCTATGAAAAGAACAGAACATTCTATTCGAAACCAAAAGAGAAATCACAAAGACTCCCTAATATCAGCTATGCATATTTGAAAGAGAATTAATGCAGAGAAAAAGCCTTCCAGTAATTCGTGAAAGTAAAGCATGCACCACCCAGACTGACTTTAACTCATGCATCAGCAGAAAACACATTATAATAACCAGTGTATTTCATATTACTTCCAAAAAACTCTTGTAACTGACAGCAGGAAAATACCTATGGGCTGAACACCACTGCAAATATTTGCATTCCTGCACACACCTGTGAGCACACTTTTTAATGGGGTATTAAACTGGTGACTTAGGTAGTATTCCAAATAAGCCTTGCCATTTCCCCAGCATCCCAAAAGCTGTTCAACAAGATTCTTTAGGGCTGCATGTGTCAAAAAAAAAAAAAAAAAATTCAGAAAGAATACATAGATGCATATATTTACTTAACAGAGGTGATAATCATTCATTTTCTGTAAAGCTGTGGAAAAACAGTTCTTGCAGATGACTCAAGGGGGTCATCAAGGTGAACAGGAGAACGGTTCTGCAAAGGTAAGCACAAATCTCCTTCTGAGATGCATTGAAAAGAGGGAATACCAAAAATAAAGGAAGATGCAGGATGCTTGTCCGTTAGCAAGCTCTGCCCTACACCAAGTAATGGGCTCCAGATCCCAACGGGAATGTGGCTGGGAGACAGCACAAACCTCCACGCTAAGACAACTCCGCAGCTGAAGATGGCAATTAATCCCCGTGGCAGCGTTAGGGTGTTTTCTAAATTACAGTTATTTTCTTTAAGTCAGTCATGCCATGGAAGACTGGGAAATTAGAGGGTGGTTGGTTTATTGATGTCAGATGTGCTGCCTCCCTTGGTGTGCAGACAGTGATTCTGATTCGGCATCAACCTCCTCAAGACCTACGTCCAAAACAGAGACAAAACATCTAGGAAAGACTATTGGCATTTCATTAGTTTTCTCTATCATCTTCTTGCCCACGTTTACCTTTCCCTTCTCACCCCTAACAAGCAGTTGCAGAATCTGTCTTGCGTCGTATCTGTCAACCAGTTTCTACCTATAACTCAATTTTTTCGTGTAAATGCTCTATGGTATCACCCGAGGCCCTTTGTTTTTCAGCCTGAGTCTTCTCATTAGAATAATGTGCCCATTAGCTGCAGGTGGGTTTGAGTCACAAAGCGAGAAGCTAACACAGTGACCGTGCTGCACTACACGTCTGCAACCCCAAACACACAATGTCCTCCAAGAACTACCGGTTCCCTGCTTGGTCGTCTGAAAATGTGACATTTTTCTGTCCCCAAAAAGAGACAGACTGGGATGCTGCAGCTCACAGCAGCAATGGGAAGCAGGTTTCAGACACACCTGCAGCCTGAAGAGTCTTCAGCAAAGGGGGAACAAATAAACACATAAATAAGAACTATTTGAACTTTAGCTTCAGAAATGGAGAAACTAGACTGGAACTAACTCAGAAAATCGAAGCAGGACCTGGGGAGTTTTATATTCTCTCTTGCTCCCTTCCCACAGTTGCAATCTCCTTTTGCTGAGAGCTGCGACCATACAATTTTGAACGCATTTTCCACTCTGATTTCCTCTGCAGTATGAGCCATTTTTACTCATTGTCAAAGATGAGATTTTGTACTGTTGTTTTTCAAAGGACAGTGGTCCTACTATCTTGGCCATTTAATTCCCTACACATTTTACCTTTCTAAATAGACACCCTTCTGTTTCAATCTTAGTCTCAAAAGACGTTAATATGTACCCCTATGACTCTAGAATATCACATTTTTCATAATGTGGTAATGACTTATTTTCTCCCAAACAGGCAAGAAAAATAAAAATATTTATAATTGAGCTATAAGCCTCTACTAATGGTAAATATTTGCAGGCTAGACAACCTGATCCCTTGCTCTGTTCTTGAAATTACAGCTTCCAAATGAAGCAGCGAGAACCCTGAAAATTATTAACCAATACTTGGCCGCAGAAACAAAGGTTCTCATGTGTATCTCAATGTAAGTGGTACCAAAAAAACCCTACCAAGGCAAGAGAGAAACAGACTGACTCAATTTGAATGCTTTGGGATTGCGTATGTTAAGACATCCCTGCATAAACTGAAATTTCCAAGTGTCCTGGGACTTTGGGGGCAAACAAACATGGAAATCCCTAATAGGCAACAGTCAAGAAACAACCACTGCTTATCTTGAACCTACGCAAATGGCATCACCATTGTTTCAGCCCGTCTTAACTCTTAGACACAAGTTTAAAGTTCATATCGTAGTCATGGATGGGAAAATACAGCATCTCCCACCGACCCCTTCAGTTGCATGGCCATGGCTGGCTGCTGCTGACCCTTATCAAGAGAAGAACCTGTCTGAAGTAGCTGTGAGGGACAAGCGGCCAAGCAATGCAACCCGCAGGTCTCCAGCTATGGTCTCAGTCCTTTGGTCCACGTACGCAGATGCTTTTGACTCAGTGACCTGCAACGTTCAGAGGCTGCATCTCCAGCCAGTGGCATTTTGCAGAAAGCCCATTTTGGGGATGCTTTTGCTCCTTCCGTATCAAGGGCTACAGATCTCATTTTGGTCGCTGTGGTCTTGTGGCTCAAGGTGACACATCGAAAGGCAAAGGTTGATTTAGATTATTAACAACTGTTGTCCTTGGTTTATAGGTCTCCAGCCTGGGAGGAAGAGAGGGGCAAGGAAGCTGTGGCAAAGCGCTGAGGTTTAAATACAAAGCTAAAGTTGAGCAGAAAAGTTCAACAGAGACAATCAGCCGTTGCCCTTCAGGTTAACTACCTGCTGCAGGAGCCTAATTGCAAGAAGTTGTTGCTGTCAGTAACACCTGGCATTGAGCAGAAGATGCCCACACTGCTTCAGGCCCCGCTGCCCATGTCTTCTGACCCAATGGAGAGCAGAGGCAGAGCTTATTAACAGTGCAGGCATCCAGTGATGACATCCTGCCTCCCAAAAGTAGGTTACAGAGATGGAGATTGCTCAAAGGAAGGAAGAGGAGCATGACGGGTGCAGGAGCTTTCCCCAAAGCCTAAACTGATGCTTTCTGATAAAGAAAAGGAATGAAAACATGTGTGAGCTTCACACACACCGGAGCTTATAGACCAGCTGCTATCTGGCAGCCCAGCAAGGTCCACAGCCCTTTTTCCTAGGCAGACTGTATCGAACAGCACCAAGCGCTTAGCAAGAAATACCTTCTCATTTTCTCCAGCTGGGAAAGAAAGTGGACATGTTTTTCCATTATTTCTAAGGCTATTACTGCTGTGCAGCTCATTTCAGGGTAGGTCTCTATTAAACCTCCAGAAATGAATTTCAGGGCTGCAGATTCGAGGCAGAGGCACGAAGCCCTCGCACTCTCCTCCCTCGCGGTGACTCTTTTCTTCCCGGGAAACGGGAATGGGAGTCTCTGGAGGTAAATGTTAACGCAGTCCCCTCACCAGAAAGGGCCCCATCTCTCCATCAGGCTTCCCCAGACTGCAACTTCAACCTTTTCAGACAAACACAGGGAATAAAGGGAATAATGCCCCTCTCTACATCATTGCTGCCCGAGTAAATTGGAATATAGCTGGCCTGCCCACTCTTAATGGCAACGCCAGCACAGAGAGCAGCTAAGAATTCCGTTGTTACAGAGACATTATAACCATATCTGAGAGATTTCTGGAACTAGTAACTACTAAAGAGATGGAAAATTTATTACTTTAAAATTAGTCCTTTCACTTTTCATTCAGTATGAAGACTGAAGCACTTTAATGCAAGTGGTTGCAATTCCTGTAATTCGCTCGCAAAGCCCATGAAAGTCTGCAGTTCAGAGACAGCGATTTTTACCAGGGTATCTAACAATATCCGC